AAAAAACGCTAAGTCTTTGAAATCAGTGTGGATTTTATACTCATAGCACTTCTCAATTCAGGCACAAAATTTTCATTGGGAATGCTTGATCTGTAGTTAGGCGTACCCAAAATTTACAGTTGAAAGAGTCGACTCATATATTCAAGTTGTCCGAAGCATACTTAGGAGTTTTTTGATAACTGAATTGTGTCAATTTAAAAATTTTGAATTAAATTAAGTTAAATAATTAAAAATGTGCTCTGTCAGTCATGCTTTCTGTTTTTCAAGTGCTCAGTAGCTGCCTACAGCTAGTGATTCCAATACTGGAGAGCTCAGGTGGGAAGGGTTAACTGACATAATGTAAGAAGAACAGTGCCTTGTGCATAGTGGGCATTCAGCAAATGGTATATATTGTTGTTATTAAGGCCTAGAATTGCTGTTGGTAAAACCCGATTTCCAATCGCGTTATCAAGACTTTTGTGCTCATCGACTCAGGTGTAATGGAAGGAAGCAGAGGCAGATAATTGGTCTGAGAGAGAGAAAACAAGTTGGAGAGACCAGATGGAAGGATCCCATACTTCCTTAAGCCCTCCGCGTGCTGGGTTCCCATGACACCAGCCCCTTCACCCCTGCTGCATTAAGTAAATGAGGGTGAGGTTACTTTGGATTACTGGGTCCATCAGGACATTTTAGAATTATTCAAATAGGGGACATTTGGCTGGCCCTCACTTCTCAGAATTCTCCCTGCTGATTTGTAAATAAGCAAAAAAGATAAGAGAGAGAAAGAGAACTTATTTTTCAATTCACAGTGGGGGTGGGGGGAACCTGCCATGTAGTTTGTAATATTGTGTCCACAGGTTGGGACACCCTCTCCCAGTCTCGAGGTGCCTAGGAAACCTAATTAATTACGGAATTATGGAGCACGGCTTGTGCTAATATAGAATCAGGGCTGAGGGAGTTAGGTGTCTCAAGGGATATTTATAACGAGCTGTGGCAGTCTGGTGAGTCACTGCTCTGCTCTTCAAGAGGCCATACCTGCCTCCCAGGAGGGAAGGCTGCTGCTCACTGGTCAGGCCCCCTTCTCTGGCCGGAGACACACATACTGTTGGGGAACCCTCCCCACTTCCCTGGGCTCCCCTGATCAATACATTCCTTCCTTTTCCCCCATTTCACCAGAATTTCCCAACAGCCTTCTAAATCCCAGACGGTCTGTGCTGTCCACCACTGATGCCACAGACTGGTTGCATCCTAGGAACATCTCACTCCAGAGGGATTCTTTCTGGACAGGTTTTCTAAGGTCAAGCCCAGCTATGCAGCCAGGCTCTTGAACAGCCTCCCTCTAGGGCCAGTCCTTCTGGGACACAGGCAAAGGCTGGAGAGGAGAGGGGAACATTGAGCCCCTTCTCTGTGCCGAGCCCTGGGCAGGGCCCTTGGCTCCCCTTAGCTCACCGAAGTATCACAGTAAGCTGTGTAATGGCTTCCATTGCTCACATCTACAGAGAAACCGAGACTTGGGAAAAGCAGCTAGGAAGGAGCACGTAGCTAAGAAGAGCTAGAGTTGGGGTTCCACCCAGGCCTGTCTAACTCCAGTGCTCTTATTTTTATATGATTGTCTCAAGCTATTGGACTAGTGGTTCAAGACACTTTCATATATATATATATATAT